TGCTGCATATTCCGATGGAGGCGCATACAGTGCGGGTGGTGCTGTTCAAAGGTATGTTCGTTCCAGCTAATGACAAGCAAATTGCATGAATTAAAATATTTTACTCACACTTGTTCACATGAATAATCCCCTCAACGGATATGAAAAATGCTCTCGGAAGGGCTCTAACCGTTTCGTATTCTCAACGATTCGTAAGGTGTCTTATTGCGATCCTTTTGGTGTTTCAAAGATTTAGTTTTTATGGTAACATGAGATGCATATGCAAAATCTCCGGTTTTTTTTATTGAGTGGAAATGATCTTTGAATACAGACTCAGATTAAAATTTAGAAACTTTATTGACATGAAATTGAAATCTCGAATGAAGACCGCAGTAAAATTAGTCAGATCAAATTATGTGCACTATTTTTGAAGAAATTTTTATGAATAAACAGGGAATGGGCTGTGTGGTTGTGTTTGATTAGATTAGTTTTACGCGCAAGTTTTAGATATTATGAAGTACTTTTTCAGTGACGATCGCTATCGAGGATTCGGAAACACGGTCGATCCACCTAGTAATCAAGACGACCTTTTAAGTGGTGCCATGTCTTCTCTGTCGGTGGTCAGTGTTTCTTATAAAAACACTTATTTATTTGCGAATATACATTGATTACCAGGGTTGGAGCCTCATTTCAAAAGGAGCCTCACAAGCTGCAGCTCTTGCCAAAGATGTCAGCATCCAGGCCACCCAGAAAGCAACAGAGCTATCGGTAATATCGCTCTTATAATTTTAGTTTTGCTTTTTCTATGCCATTAAGATGTCGAAATAGCAGTTCTACTTTTATGACTTTGCCTTCAAAATTTGAATGTTGACTGCATCAATGTCATTTGAACGCTTGCAGTTTTTTGCTTCCGCAATTGTGTTCTTTTCCTCTTGAGTGCAGTGCTCGAAATGTCGGGTCTAATTAGTCATTCTTCTTTTTTTTCAGTCGCAAAACAGTGGCCTCCTCTCAGGAGTTGCGAGCAAAGCTACAGAGATAGGACAAAAATCTTGGGGAGGTATATCTCAATTCGTCAAATCGCCATCGTTACAGGGTTGGACATCATTCTCAAATAATGAGTACTCAAATGTTTTATGGACAGTTCATCTGCAGTTTTGTTTCAAAAAAAGTTTCTTGCAGATGCAGTATTGTTAGTCCGCGTTAGTCTCATATGATGCGATAAGGTGTGAGAAAAGGTTTGGGACTTAAAATGGTTTCTGCAAAAATCTTCCAAGTCATTGCAATAAAAATTTTGGAGTCTCACTGTTTTACACATCTGAAAAAAATGTGTCCAAGAGCTGCATGTCTTGCTTCAGTTTACCACCTGTATGTATTTCAGGGGGATACGATAGACATTGGCTCGCCTAGTGAGCAATCATCGAGTGCCACTTTTAATGGTCAAACGGGCTATGACAGTGGAGGGTGAGGATGTGCATGTTCTTTAAAAAATCCTTACTCACCCAATGGAGTCTTATTCAGATTCAGCGCCGTCGAGAAGCCGCCAGGACATGCTGGAGATGCCTTCTTTTCTCTAGCAGGTAGCTTTTACTTTTTTTTTTTTACTTCGTTTGAGTTCTTATACGTGTGACAGTTTCAAATAGTGTTGTTATGAATTACTTGATTCCGTTGCTCGGTCGTTAATTATATCGAGGGTTATACTAAGGGGTATACGAGTAGGTGTACAAAGAGGGTATCCAGCATTGGATTGTAGAAGCGGTAGTTGGTATTGACCCCGCTAAGGCTTTTGCGCCGCTTTCACAGACGTGGTGTGCCATTTCTGTATCCGTATGGCACGATCTTGGCCTTCAAGAATATTTTTGATCTGCAACATTGTCGAACTTTACGGACCCACCTGTCTGATCCGTGCACCTACTGCAAGCCTATTTTATGGCTTCATTTTATTGTGTTTTCATTTTCATATTTTATGGCGAAGATCTATCTTTCCGATAGGCAATTTCATGGCCAGAGGGGCAGAGTCAACCCTGCGTTGCGCAGTTCTCAACGGCCACGTTGCGCAGTTTCGCCCGATTAGACACGTTCTCTCGCGCGAACATTCACACTCGCATGCTCGAGCCGTCTGCGTCTCCGCCCATACAGCGTGCGTTGAGGATCTCTCAACGTGCCGTTGCGAACTGCGCAACGCAGGGTTGACTCTGCCTGGGCACATGTGCTCGTTGCGCTTGGAAGAAATTTTCAAGTGTTGTGGTCAGCGGGTGAGCACATGGTATATAGTAAAGAGATGCCTATTTCCATTCCAGAAAGCGGTGCCGAGAAGAAAAAACATGTAGCAGAGAAAAAGAAAGCTACTAAAACGCCGACGGCTGGTGCGACAGTCGCGTCCCCTGCTTCGGAAGATGAGGATCCTTCTAGTAAGACCAAGAGTTTCTTTTACATAGAATTGTGGAAAGATAATTCATTTGCAGATTCAACGATAAGTCAATTCGAAGCCTCATTCAACAAACCACGGCGTCCAGCAGCTGCAGCAACAACAGTAAAAAAAGCAGAAAGTCAGTCATCAAATAAAGCGTGGGATGATGACGCATGGGCTATCTTAAACAACTAATTTATTATGAAATTAATTTTAAAGAGTATTTTCTTAAAACTCGGTGAGACGTGTTTTCACCGCATGATATAACGTATTCCAGTGTCTATAACCGGGAGTTATTGTAAAAGTTGAGAATTCTAGTGTTTAATAGCTTTCTCGGTCCATTAATTTGTGTGTGGTTCGTTAGGGCAGGAAGCGAATTTCCACTTTTTGTCGTGCGAATTTTTCTTGCTATGAGAACCCCTGGTCCACTCATGATCAGTGATGGAGCTGGGGTTCCGCAACGGAAAAATTTTGCACTGCGAAATTGGAAAAGTCGCTTTCTGTTCTAGCGGATCGCAGCCGATTAATTTCGTTTCTAGTGATGACTCTATTGCATTGCTTAGTATTGCTAGGGGCTAACAAATAGCCGTCGTGATTGAACGCCTTTCATTTCATCTTTTCTTTTTTTTATAAATATATTCTCAACGAGCATATCACCAGTATAGAATTATGTTCTTGATTCTTTGGCCCTCATTGATAATATGTAGGTGTATGTAGGGTTTCCTATTCGTTATGGGGTGGGATGGGGGTGGAGCTAACCGGAGAAGAGCTTGGCGCCTGCAAGTCTAAATCTTTATTGTCGCTGTTACTTGTCTGTACTAATCTTGGCGTTTTTTCGTGTACAGAGTAAATCCTTTTATCATATTTTTGTTTTTGCAATTTGTACTATTCAGTATCTTCAGCGCCTCGAGGAGCCTCACTGAAAATCTCCGATCTGACATCTGATAGCGGACGTCCAAGTCGAGCTGCTAACTAGAATTAAGAACTTGAAAATCTGAGCAACTTTCTATCACATCGTAGTCCTTACCTCTATCGCGTTTGTAAGGCGGACTTCACTTGGTTTCCGCACAAATGATGTAACTCGTCCAAGAAATGTGGAACTGAGTCGTCCAATTCGTCCTATCCTAAAGTTTTGTTATGGTTTTCTTTCAAATGGGTACCCTTTAAGTGTGGGCAAACCTACAAAGGGATTTCAAAATATTGATCACTGAAACGTAAGCAATTTGCAAATCTTACCTGTGTAGAAAACCGACGTTGTGTGGCGACAGATCATAGTTGATGACATGACTCAGGCGAGGGAGATCGATTCCTCTGGAAGAGAGCATATAAAGGAGAATATTACTCGAATCAAGGGAACAAGCTCGTGCAGTAAAGAAGAAAACGCGAAATACGAACATATCACGATTTTTCGTAGTGATCGCTGAAGAACAAATGAAAAATCTCACCTAGCTGCTGCGTCCGTAGCAATGAAAATTCTTGCGCCTTCTTCACCAGTGGCATCACGAGATGTCCAAAGATGCACCTTGTGTTCGAAGGACTGCAGCTGCTTGTGAACAAAAGCTGCCGTGGCACGATCCTTACAAAAGAAGCAAATTGTAGGTGGATTGCACACAGGTTCTGAACAACCAATGCGGAAACTAACCTTGCAAAATACCATGGTCTCATTCAATTCACCACGCTTCATGTCCTCTGATAGTATTTCCGCCAATCGAGCGATTTTATCCCTCTCTCGAATCCTAGATTCTATTTGTCTTAAAAATTTCTAAGTTTACTCAAAGCTAGGTCATTTATTCGACTGCGGTTAGGCCGCAGGTAATTAGTCGAACCGATGTTCCAATTGCATAACCGAGCGTGGGGTAGATACAAAATGACCATGCGATTGCAACG